GAGAAGAAGAAGAAATTTTCTTCTTAATAAAGTAATAAAGAAGAAATTAAAAAAATTAAAATTAAAAAATCAGTATTGCATAACCATTCCCAAAAGTAAAGCAAGTGGCTACCTGCAGTAGCAAATACTGCATCACATGTGATAGAAGGAAAACACTCAGGACAGACCTCCAAATAGCTAAAAACACCTTCCATGCTCCATACTCATGAAAACCTTTCAGTAACCTAAAAAAATGACCACAGAACTTTTCAATCTGAAAGGAAATAGACCAGTCCCTGAACAGTGGCAGCATGCAGCCTGCGCTGCCCTGGTCTCTTGCTAGCAGCAACCTTCCGCTTGCATACAGAGACATAATTAAGGACACACCATATGAAACACCCTATTGAACTGGGAGGGCAATCTGTTCAGCTTTATGCAAAATAAGTTTGCAGGTCCCTGGGAGCAACTGAGACACTGCTCAGCCAGGCCATCTGCACATCTTTACCTCTGTGCAATATATGTATGGTATCTTTGAAAGAGTTCAGTATTTAACAAATGCAATGAAAATTTGAGCCAGGTTTGTCTTTTTTAAGACTCTTAATCACAAGCAGCCAGCTAAGGAAAACCTCCTGTGTTATTTTTCTACAAAGCTCCAGAAGACAGTAAACTGCTCCATGCTCAATGCCTGCTAACCTTGTCTTTTCCTCGTCAGATGTTGTACGATGATAAAATGCATTTAAATCTATTTCTCTGTATGCACATCTAGTACAAGCTGAAGGGAAAAGTTTCTTATTTAAGATAGTTTGTAAAAAAACATTGTTCTCTGTGCAAATAACAAAGTTACTCAGAAACAGGAAGGAGTCTTTCGCAAGTACAAATACATCTATCACTGCACAAAACAAGAGATTACGGGAGTTTGCTCAGGGGGTTACTTGGTATTATTTCAGTAAGCAGAAAGGGAAAAGGAGAGACAGAAATGGAACAAACAGAAAAAGGGGGAAGAGCAAGAAAGGAAAAAAAGAAGGTTCTACAGAGGTATCAGCTACAGGCAGTGCCACACAGGGTGCCTTTGAGCTGCCTGCAGCTGAGAAAGCCTCTCAAGTCACTCCCAAGTCTACTTCTTTTGAGCTCTTCTGTATTTCAGGAAACAAGACTTACCAATGATGTACACAAATTGAAGTAACTGATTCTATCATCATTTTCTTATTGCAGTAGGAACAATGTGTTCCTACAGTGTTGAAAATCCACTTACACATGAGTCTCTGATAAACTGGAGGAAACCAGATGCTATGAGACCCAAATCTTTTCTCATTACTTGTCATCAAAAGACTTAAGAACACCACTGAAGCTGAATCTGTCTTCCAATTAATGGTGTGAATTTGTATTCTGTTGCATCAATGTGAAACCAAAAAAACAGCATGGAAATAAAAAATGGCTAAAACAAAGTGACACTTGAAGGCTTTGCTACAGGAACTGAACCGGAACTTGGAAATCCCACTGAGTGTACAGGCAGACAGCTCCAAATCAGAGAGACCTTGACAGACGAGCAACCGGAGGACTCCATGCAGACTGAGAAATGTAGCAAGAGGATTCCCAGCCTGGCCTGGCAAGCAGCAGGTGACTGCCAGATTGAAGGTCAGGATGTGCTGCTGGTTGTTCTAGTGGGGAAGCTTGTAAAACCTACTGCCAGTTTGGATCATAACCTACAGCAAGAGCTCCATTCTCGTGGAATTACACTATCCTGAACACTTTAACATCTCTATTTGACAAAATGCATGCTTGAAACTACATTTGTGCTACAGATACAGGATCTTTCCCAGTCAAAGGTATTTTCTTCTGAGGACACTGGGAAGGCGTTTCGGTTCTTCAGCTGGGCCTCTGGCTAAAACAGAGGGCAGATTACCAGAGCACGCTGGAAACTTGGTCTGTTTTTAAAAATGTCACAGCCAACAGCAAGTCAAGAAGTTTCAAAATTATTAGAATTATGTGCTAGGACTTGTTGGGGTTTTGTTTGTTGTTTTGGGCAAGGCTGGGGATCTAAGTGGCTAGCACAAAAGACAAGAGAAGCTTTGAGCACCCTGGAAGGTTTCAGGGATTCATAAAGCATATTCTCAGCTATTAAAAACTTCTGATGGAACCATGTGCAGGGCTAGAATAATTCATTTCAAAAGACTAACAATTCAAACCCTAGCTGACAGCTAATGTCTTTCAATAGACAGATGTTTTTGTTTGTAATTTACCATATGTGTCAGTAATTCAAGAGAGTGGTTAAAAAGAAAGTGTTATTTTCATGCATTTTTCCACCAGAAACCTCTCAAAGTTGCCAGAAAATAATTTAAATTTCCCTTTTAGCATTCTACATTTAACTCCGTGTACTATTCTCTTTTGTCAAAGTGGCATATTTATAGCAAGTATTTTGCATCATGAAAGAAACCCTTTCAACAAGCAACATCTATCTTCCTTTTCCAAATGTATACTACACATAAATACACATATGATAACTGCAACCCTTTTTAATTCAGCTGCTCTTTAGTACCTCCTAATTAAATGCAAGTTGTTCTCTGATCTCTATGCTATATTATGTTTATTCATAAGTTTATTTATTTTGATTTCTGAGAGTTACTTGATTATGAAGAACAACCTTTGCTTCACAGTAAAGCCCCAGTTCAGAAAGGTAGTTGAGAACTGTCAATATCTGAACTACTGGAAACTCAGTCCTTAGTCCTGCAGTGATGATCAGAAAATTGACCATTGAATCTCACAGTTCCTCCTGCAGAGTTAGAAGAGCAGGGAATAGTTTGGTGTCTTGCATGTGGAAGTCCAACACTGTTACAGCTGCAAATCTGCAGAGATTTAAGAGATATCACTTTGTCAATGTGAATCAAGCTTGCTTGGTAGAATTATGATTTTGGATTTTGTGGAAGGAAGAAAAACACGATGTTTTGTTTCTTTATTTTCTTAGAATGTGTTAAACATTTGGTAACTGCTTAAAGTTCACTGATATAGCACTGAAGAGAGCAGTTTTATAGGTGGGTTTTGGAAAGCAAGCAAATGCTATAATACTCCTATGAGTCAGCAGTGTGCCCTGGCAGCCAAGAGGGCAAACCGCATCCTGGGGCACATTAAACACAGGGTAACCAGCCAGTGAAAAGAAATGTTTATCTCACTGTATTCAGCGCTGGTGCAGCCTCACCTTGAATACCGAGTGTAGTTCTGGGCCCCACAATTTAAGAAGGATGTCAAGGTCCTTGAATACATTGAGAGGAGGGCAACAAGGCTGGTGACAGGGCTGGAAGGAATGACCTATGAGAAGCAGCTGAGGACTTTGTCTAGTTTGGAGAAAAGGAGGTTGAGGGGTGACCTCATTGCTCTCTACAGCTTCCCCAGAAGGGGAAGTGGAGAGGGAGGTGGTGAGCTCTTCTCCCTGGTGTCCAGTGATAGGACATGTGGGAAAGGTTCAAAGCTGTGTGAGAGGAGGTTCAGACTGGACATTAGGAAGCATTTCTTTACCTAGAACGTGGCCAGACACTAGACCAGGCTTCCTAAAGAGGTGGTGGATGCCCCAAGCCTGTCAGTATTTAAGAGGTATTTGGACAATGCCCTTAATAACATGCTTTAACTTTTGGTCCCTATCCTATTCTATTCTCTTCTACCCTAAATTCTGCAAAGAAAAATAAAAGTTTAAAACCAAAAAATCCCTCTAATAAGAAATTCACACA